GCCAGTTTTTTTTTTTTTTTTTTGTGTGCTTCTTCTTGTTCAGCTTTCTCCTTTTTGAAATAGGATGACTAGAACTGGGGGAATGGCATGCACAGATGGGAGTCAGGAGGGAGAACTGCATGCACTATACCTTTAGCATGCAATGTTATGGAAATACAAACAAAACATGTGTCTTAGGGAGTAAGAAAAAGTTGGGTGGAAGGTGGAAACAGGGACTGTTAGACTGATCAGGGGATAATTGGCTACAAGATACAGAGCTAATGGAAGTAACATTTAAAAATTCATAAATAGTCTTAATTTTTATATTTTTAAAGTTTGGATATTTGACAGTGCTACTTTAACTTTGTTTTAACATAAGTATCCATACACATAACAATATGACTTCTGTTATAAAATAGATAAACCATAAGTTTACGTCTCATTGAGTGGGTTCTGAAGTTGGTATAAGCTGCTATTGTTAAAATTTACTGAAGTAAATTGTCATATTTCCAATTACTATTTTCCGAAGAGTATCACCAGAAATTTTAATTATAAATCAATTATGAGTATAGACACTACAAAGGAGTGAAAACTACAAACTGGTGAAATTGTTGTCATTAGATGTTCCTCCCAAAGCCAAATTGGAAAACATCTTTAAATGTTCCAAACGTCTTTTCCACATTATAAAACAGAGGCAAGCGAGGTGCAAAATATTTGTGTGATGGTTTTAACAATGCATGCTTAGTAGTAGCTCTAAATTTGAGAAATTTTGAGTACTTCACAGAGGTGGGCTGGGTGGTGGGACAGGTCCTGGCTGCTGGGTCCTGCCCTGCCACCAGCCATGGGGAGCCCCTTCCACTGCTACCCCCCAGGTCTGGGGAGCCCCCAGCCCTCACTGCACCGTGACATGCTAGTTGCTTATTCATTTGTCATTTACATCTGCAGTTCTGGCTAAAGAGCTACACTCCTCACTCTATTATATAATAGATATAGAGCTTGGGAAAATGTTACAACAACAAAATGATACAAATAGACTTTTAAAAAATTTTATTCATTCAGTCAGTAAGTCATAACATGCGAGAGGGGACATTCAGAAGTCTAATTAACATAATAGATGCACAATTTCACATTAATTTTTATCCTAATACAGTTACCGACAGTGAACAACAATTTATTGTCTAATTATTCCTAGGTTCATATTGCAGGGCTGTATCACAATAATGGGATTATTAATGGCTGATTATCTTGTATCAGAAGGTGGCAGTACAGCACAATTCTTAGCCACAATTGTAGACCTATGAATGATGCTGCCTGAAATATCAGATTCCTGTGAAGAATATGGAAAATTACCCTGGCTTGAGAGGTCAGCATGGGTATTGCATGACTCTTAATGCAAATAAAAGTTAGTAAGAAGCCAAGCCTGAGGAAGACGGTATTGTTTCATGCCGCTTATAACACACCCTGAGTCAAGGGCTTTCATGATTTTGCAAATCTTGTCATTAAAAGTGTTACATGTAGGGTGAAAACTATTGCCCCAAATCTTATTGTGTCTGTGTTACAAACATGTATGAACATAAACTCATTTTAACCATCATTTTTGTAGGCTAAAGACTACACAGCAGAAATTACAGCTGCTGAACTAAGTGAGAGGAAGTGGCTGGGAGGAAAATACAATTTCCTATCTGGGTCCTTTAAACTTCTTGTTATTACCAAAGGTGACATGACTTCTTTGACCACAGACACTTCAAACAACATCCTCATGCTGGCACATGCATAGACTGTCAGAAACAGCAGCCAGCAAAGCCAGAATTTGCAAAGTCTTTCAGGGCCTGGCTTACCTTAGTCACATCGCGGTTTTGCTGAGTGTGAGGTGAGGCAGGAGATGATGGCAACCTTCCCGTCCCTGGCAATCTGTAAGAGTAGAAATAGTGTGGGACAGCAGGGAGGTGTAATTTAGGTTGGGTGTTTCTCTGGGGGAGGCAGAGAATATTTACAAGTATCTTTTAGCTGGAAAAAGATGAGGGAATACAAGGAGTGAAAGCATCAAATACAGTATATCCATACCAGAAGTAGGATGCATGGGCAAGGATCATAAAAATAGGACTAAATGTCTGACCTCATTGAGGTCAATGGCCAAACTTCCAATCACGTCTCGGGGGCAAGGTTTCATTGAGTCATTTGAGCAGATGGCTTAGTTTCATAACAACCGAATGTGTGGGACTGGGTTTTGTTTTGTAACTATTTTTGTGCAGCCAGCCTTGTCCTCTCTTTTGTCTACTGTAGTGCTTCTCACATGTTTTCAGTCAGAATGGGAGCTCCTTGCGACCTGTCTGAGGAGGACAAAGTCTGATTTTATGTGTGTTTGGTGTGCTGCGTTTGGGGCCCTACTGTTGTAAAATAATTTTGCAAAGGTAAAAGGCTTCTTGCATATACCATTTTTATTAGGCAATCTAATTTTTCCATCAAATGTACTGGTGCAGATGAAGAAACCACAGAGGTTTAATTCATGGGAACCACAGCACTGTGGGTGCTTATTCACATTTGAATTCCTGTGTTGAAGAGTTGGACTGAAAATTGCAAGCTGATGCTTCTGTTATTTTGTTTTCAATCATACCACAGATCTCTGTAAAAAAGTACTCTCTTTTACAGCTTTACAGTATTTTTTCCTCTAGTCTGTGATCTTGTTAATCTCAAACTTTTTTGAGGCATTGCCGGTTTGGTCAGGATTTTATTTAGAGCCTCAGAACGACTGCACCAGGTTCAGTAGTCAATGCAAGCTATGAATATAATTTGCAGCATAAATAGGGTGGTGATAAGCCCCTATGTTGGTCTGTTTGACTCTTTCAGAGCACAGCAGGGGCATAGCAGGGCTGCCTCCTTCCTGACCTTTTGTAATTGTTCTTTACTGCAGTTAGAATTTGTATCTTTATAGATTTAATGTAAACATATATTTTATTTGTTTCCTTTCATCTCAGTAGGTTTTCAAGTGTTTCATTAACTATATAAATGTAGTCTTTAGTGAAACAAAGCTTAACAATTAGAGGACAGCAGTTGAAAAGTAACCTGCACACAGTATACCTGCCACACAATGGTGAAGAATTTTTTGTGAAAGTCACAAGAACAATTATACTCTTCCAAAAAGCTCCAGAATATTTAATGTATGTAAAAATAGACATTGCTTACCAAGATGTCATCTTAAAAGTCCACATGTATATGCTTGTGCATGCTTGTGTGCTTGTACACGCACACTCCTGTACGCAAGGTCTGAATTGGTATCTGGATTCTCCACAGACACTCTTGTATTGCAGATTTACTGACAGAGATGTTCTATTTTATCTCTTTCTTTCAGAGAGATCGGCTCAATTGTCCGGTCACTGGGTTGCTTCCCAACTGAGGCAGAACTACATGAACTGCTTGCAAAGGTAAATGTTTACACCTTTTGTATTTTTTTCAGTCTTAAACTTGCACAAGTTTGGCCCTTCTGCCTTGCTGTGTGGGAAACCTACGCTCCTTTCCCACAGGTTGGAAGTGTCATGGTAGTGATTCAGGCAGGCAGGCAGTTTCTCAGGTCGCCCTGAAGCAAGCCTTTAAGCTGATGAGGTAACAAAGTTGATGGGTTAAAATGAGGAGCCTTTGACTCTCTTTTACTCCAGAAGGTAACTGTGACACTATGCCAAGGTAGAGGGGCATTTGTAGAAAACGGAGTAAAAATTGGTTTTGGCTGATGAAAAAGTAAGTCCTAAACCTCAGTCGGATTAGGATGTCCAAACCCTAACCGTCTCACTCTTCTGGGCATGCCATGGACACACACTGTGTTACTTTATTAAGTAATAAAAATTAGTTCTTGAGCAGGTGTTAAAATTATACATCAGATTTCAAAAATACACAGAGGGAAGACCTGCTGGTTTTTTTCACTGGGTCCTGTTACTGCTGTCTTATAGCCAGACTTCTCAACTTTTTGTCCTTCATGAGGTCTCTCCCCATCTTGAGATTTCTCAGTCATAGGTAAGTAACCTTTTCTTGCTTGATTACTTGACCGGTAAGTCAGAATTCAGACATAAAACTTGGCAAGAACTAGTGGTCCTACCATTCTCCCAGTGATACACAGGGGTAAGGAACTTCAATCACATTTCTTCACGGTTTTTTCCTACACTAATTTTTGTCTCCTTACCTCATGCTTGTAATAGAAAGGATGGTGTGCTGGTGCCTTGGCAGGGTCTGGTTAATAATTGGGACAAAGAAGTGGGAAAAAGATTTCCCATTCTTTTTGCAAATTATATGCTGCCTTAAGGAATGGGAGAAGCTGGGGCTGAGAGGTAGGGGAAGGATTTTTCTCTTTTTCATGTGTATGTCAGGATACTGGGAATTGATCTCTCTTACTCTTTTCTTCCTGTCCCCAACAAAAATTTGGGTGGTTGCATTAGTAGTCTCTCCTCAGTAGGCTTTTCTGGTCTCTTGTAGATCATAATTTAGTGTGAGAAATCTTGTGCTAAGTCTTGTGAAAATGATGCAGCTGCTTCAGATGAGGAAGTGCAAAGAACCATCAGATGAGAAAGATTTTTTAATGTGATACTGCAATCTGCCTGCTCTGGTTCTGTACTCTCAGTACCAGATTGTCCCAGCTCCCACTGAAAAACAAGACAAAATGGAAAGAGAAATTATGGTGCTTAATATAGATGATATGTTTAGTGGCCCACAGAGATGTTTGTTTGCAGCAAATGAACAGTGCAACTGACTCAAGATGCAGAATTGAGAAAAGGAAGAGGATGCTTTGACCACCTTCCCCTCCAAGTCCAGGGAAACTAGGAGAGTTTAAGGCCTGTCTCCCCCTCCCAAAGAGATTGGATTTTTTCTTTTCCCAATTTTCAGCATTACTGAAAAATTGGAGATAAGTAATACATAACAAAGTACAATACAATGCAGCTATGAGGCATAAGATTCTTGAGGTACAACAGTATAAGATGTATGCAATTGTTGATTATAAGGATATTAAATTAATGTATAAATACTGCAAGACGAAAGAATACATTCAAGAGTAATGGTTAACATTAAAGATCACTGAACTGGAAGTTAAATCTCAAAGAAGATTTCGTGGTTCCTGTAAATGAAATCTTGGCATAAGTTTAGTACCAGAAGAGCGCTGTTGTCTCATAGAACCCTTAATATATTATGTTAATCACAAATATATCTTAATTTATGTAAGATACCATTATCATTGACTATGGTAATATCATTTTATCTTAATCTAGATAAAGTAAAAATTTTCTCTGTTGGCCAGTTTGTAGCCAAGCTATTTCTCCACTAATTTTGCCCATTGTAAGCTGTGATTAATTTCTGTGTCTAATTACTTGTGCTTCTCAGTCACCTCATCTTCCTATTAGCCTTACTGTAGCTAAACTAGCATATGCTGTCCTCAAATTATTCCTATCTGCCAAATCAGCATTCATATAATTATTTTATTTCTAAAAATTATCATATGCTGTTTCCTTTATTGCCTTGTCCTAAATGCTGTAGCTGATACCATATCTTTAGGCCTACTTACAAAATTAAGATTAAATGGTAGTCCTAGAGACAGTGAAAGCTAATCTGAGGGTTACTACAATGCTTGGAGTTTTCAGTGCAGTGCTCTGGCACAGATCTCCTGGATAACTCTGGAAGATAGTTTTGTTTCTTTGTGACTTAAGCCCCCAAATGCTGTCTCAATAATAATAGTATGGCTGTGAGAGTAGAGATACAAAACATAGTGGGTGCTACAGTACAGTTGTTATGGGAGCTGTGGATGTACCCCAAAGAAAGAGAGAGAGCAAAGCTCACAGAGTTTGAACAAGCAAATACTCTTATTGTCGCAGTCCCTGTGAAAACAGGAGGAATTACAGAAAAAGGAAAACATGACTGGGAAATGAGGTGTAGAACAGGAGTGAGTATGAGGAAGAGTAAGAGGATACATATACCTACAAATATGCTTACTGACTTAGGTTAATTTATTCACATATCTATCCAATGTTAGAAATAGGATTAATTTTAACAGTTCAAGATGCTGCTGGGCCTGTAGAGGCACTGAAATTGAAGCTGTTCTTTCCAGGATAAAGGAAACTGAGGTTGCTTATCACCTCCCAGGACTAGGACTGTTGTCAGGAAGGACACATTTCTTCCACAGACTGGTCTCTGAAGATGAAATACAGATAGCACATCAACAAAAAGAGACAAATCTGGATGATATTTGTCAGTGAGGGCTAACACATTCATAGGTATTTGTTAGGCTGAGCTCAGAAGTGGTCACCGCTGGCAAGTTCTTCTGGTATGAAAACTTGGATGAGCATTAACTGTTTGGATGAGCAGATCTAATGTTTTTTAGCTCTTAAACATCGTTTATATATCTTACCATCTTCATGGATTTTTGGGGTCCTTGCTTTTGGTTGTTATGCTTAATATAAGACACATCTATTTCCAATAAATAGCTACCATATTTCTTTTCCTGTCTCTGGGGACTTCTGACCTAATACTAGTTGAAGCGCAGATGTTCCCTAAAACATCCTGTGCATTTTTACATCTCAATATTTGTGATGCATGGAATAGTTCAGTGTGTGACTGTTCTGTCACTGGAAAAAAGTTTTGCCAAGTTGTTTTGTTAAATCTTTTCAATCAAGCAAGCATGTAAACCAAATGATTCTGTAATGGTAAAAGTTACCATTTGATTTAGCATGAAGCATGCAACAGCTTCATTTTCTTGCTAGAGATCCCTTCCACTAGGCTCACCAAACAGAAGCAAAGGAGTGCTTTTTCAAGCCAATTTGGACTCTAAAGCAGCAAGAGATGGTGGCTGCCTGCTTTTAGCAACCGAAACTCGACAAGAGCACTGGAAAAGAGCATGCAGCAGCAGTTGCAGCTCTCCATTTAAGCAACTGGATGTATCAGGCATCACCCCCAGCTCTGACCCAGCTCCCAAGAGGACGATTTCTTACTTCACCTTTTCCTGGCTCAGTTAGGAGATTTCAAATCAGGTGTCTATTTGAGTCTTCTTTCAATCTGAGCTGTGTCTGTGGAGAGCGTAGCAAGGTGTCGCTGCTGCCACGTGAGACCACAAGGCGCGCATCCAGTTTCAACACAGACAGAAACAGGCCAGCTCCATTAAGAGGACACCTTTGGGGAGTAAAACTCGAAATTTTCAGGGAAGGGGGGCACAAGGCTGATAGGGAGCAGTTGCTCATCTCCTGCGGAAGTATTGGAATGCAGTGAGAATACTGCTAGAAGTCCCTGATGTTTTGGGACTAATCTGGTAATTTATTTGGGAGGCAAAAGGAAGCTTTTCTGTGTGTAGCATTTTATGGGCTGCCTTATGACTGTTTCAGGCTGCCCTGACTCAGTCTGCGTGCTTCTGGTCCTTCCCCTGACGACTCTCTCTGGCTATGAAACATGTGGAGGCAACAAATTCCATCCTTGAGGTGTACTAGACTGGGGCTATGTCCAAACTAGCACATTAAATATGCCCAGAAACATCCTTGGGTGTTGAAGCCAGCTGGCACAGAGCAGCTCATGCCTACCCTGGTGAATGTTTTATGTGAAGTGCCTGCACAGAGCAGCCTGGTGGAGAAGGTCCAGACCAGGCCTGGTAACTGCTGTGGGGACCGTTAGGTGGCACAGGCCAAAACCATGCCAGGGAACGTGCTAATGGTTTGTTTTTATGGGTGGTCACGTTACACTGCTATGGAATGTTCCAGGTCTACTAGCATGAATGCAGTCTGAATGTTTAAACCTCTGCTGGGTTATTGTGGGAGATAAAATGGGTTACTAGGCATCCAGTTCCTCTGTATGAATGGTTTCTAAGCACAAGAGGGCAATAGTGAGTTGTTGAAAATGTCTATAATAGCAGGGCTGTGTTTTGCCTGGGATATTATTTCTTCCTCGAATTTCTTTCTATTTGATCACAAGCATTTCACTCAGATGTTATGGTGCCATGTGATATTAAAATCCTGATATAAATATTCGAAGTCTAACTCTGTAATTTTAATGCAGGAACCACCCCAATTTTCTGGTTTTCATATTATTTTGTTAATGAGTCATATAACCTGCCACACTTAAGTTTTATTTTTAGGTCGAAGAAGAAGAACCAACCGGATACATTCATCTGGAAAAATTTCTTCCAGTGATGACAAAAGTACTACTCGACAGAAGGTAATGGAAAGTGGATTTTCTGTGTCTGTAGTTCATTCCACATTGACAGGGCTAATTCTGAATAAATATATCTACTGTAATTTTATGTAACTGGAAGGAGTACAGATTTTTTTTTGTTATTTAAACTCAGTTTACATTAGCTTGATAACTTTTGTTTCAAAATTACTTTATCTACATAGAATTATGTTGTACAGATGATATAAATAATACCAAGATATAATCATGAATTGTGATAATGGTAGCTTTTGTATTTTTAATCCAAATGAGAATTAACTTGCTGTTCAACACGTTTTGTGCATCTCTGAAATATTTTGTATGCAAATTAAGGTCATAACCATTACTTTCTCTGAACATATGAGTTACAGTTACTGAGAAGCACAGTCTCTTACTGTGTATTTTTAATAAATAGCATAAATCAGCTTCATATTCATGTCTCAAAGTGACTGCCAGGTATAGTTGAACGTACACAACTGGAACTCTAAAAGACTGCCGATCCAAAAGTCTAGAACAAAACCGCATTTCATTGTTCAAAGGTACATAGAAATCTTTTCATGTGCACAGGAACTTGTGCTATTTTGATATTTTGCACTAAAAGCGAGATTACTTAGAAAGAATTTATCTTTCTTTTTAAAGATGGTAGCCAAGAGTGTTGGTAGACTCAGCCTTGACTAATACTGAGAAGTTATTTTGCACACAGAGGGAGGGCCTTTGGTAGGAAGATGTTCTATAGATGAAACAGTTGTGGGATTTCCCAGAACTGTCTCGCAGCATCCAGAGGCAGCAGGGTCCACCTTGGGGCTGAATTTGAGAGTATTTGTGACCGTGCCTGGACACGGACCAGCCAGCAGTGTCTGGGTCACAGTCTGCCGGTGCGGGTGCCTTCAGTTTCCAGGTTCCTGCATCTTTGTTTTCTCTGGCCTTCCTGGCACATTTCTGGCTCCACACTGATGTTCAGCCTTTCACAAAATTATACTGTGCTGCTCTGGGCTCTCTTCTTCTCCTCCCCACCCTCTCCAGGCAAACACACACACAAAACCAAACCCACACATTTTCCCCAGGCTAGTGCAGGCTTGTCAAGACCCACTTTATCTTTTGGGGCACTATGTCCATAGTTCACTTATCCAAGGGCACATGAGATTTGGATCACAGAAAACAAGGCCTCTTCTCAGCATATTTGATTTTTAGATAGTAAAAGACTGAGGCGGGTCTGGACGAAACAATCAAGCAGTTAGAACCTCTTTGGCTTCAACGTCTTCTCTTTAGTATTGTTGGGGGTTGGTGAGAGTCTGCTGGGATATGAAAGGTCTCCATTGCTGCACAGGGTTTCCTTTCCAGCTCTTTGGACATGGTTTAGTAGTGAACTTGGCAGTGCTAGGTTAATGGTTGGACTTGATGATTTTAAAGGTCTTTTCCAACCTAAACGAGTCTGTGATTCTGAAATCAGGCGCACGTATGCACACACACACATGCCCACTTCTCCTGTTTCTCTGAAATTGTTAGTGACAGACCTTTCCTTTTATAGCTACCAGCCACCTTTGCTGATGGTCAGCTCATTAGACTGTTCTAGTCCCACTAGATGATCTGTTGCCTAGCTACCAGCATACCTGGACAAAACTTTGTTTTGTTGGTTTGGCCATCTTCTGTTCACTGCGTTGGCTACGTGGGGTGATTCAGCTATTATTGATTCCTACTAACCCACTCAGCCAGCCCAGACACGCAGATACCATTCACCTGGCTGCTTAGCACAGGGAAAATTAAACAGGAGTACAATAAAAGACATAAAAGCTAAAGATATGGACAGTTCCAAAAAGTAAAGCTGGAATTAAATGTTTGATAGACAAACTTAGTAAATTCTTATAGAAAATAAGTATCCCCTTTCCTTTAGTACTCATTCTTTCAGAATAGTAGAGCAGCCTGGCAAACAGTGACTTAACTTCTCTGATTCAATGGTTTCAGCTACCGGCCTATTCCAGAAGATGTTCTTCTACATGCATTTGAGGTCTGTAACTAAATATTCAAGTATCTAATTGCTGGAAAGAAGTTGCTGGTTCTTGGTTCAATACGGTTAAAGCCACAGGTTTTATTCTTTTTCTTTAAAGGCTTTGGATGAGAATAAATGTGGATACATTACTAAAGAGGACCTGGTCAAATACTTGACTGAAGAAGGTAACATGACTTTTGTAATATCAATATTTAAGTAAATAAACTTTACATATATATATATATGGCACCTTGAGGTCCTCATTGTATATGTCAAAACTTGCAGGAGTAGGTACATTGTCTTCAAACAATACTGTTGCTGTGATGAATGGCTGCAGACTAGAACACTTCACTGGTGAATAATGCAGGGAAAGAACATTTATGTGCCTGCTTGCAAACATTATCAGATAGAGATTATCATTATTATTATTAAGAGTCATAATTCAATCTTGTGTGGATATCTTATGATTCTGTGCACATCTCTGTGCTTCCTAAGGATGTGACTTTTTTCTGTCCTCCCGTAAAATTATAGTTTAGATTTCCAGATGTTTCAGGTAGTTCCAGTGCTCATTCTTTCCTACATTATCTTGATCTTAATTCTAGTGCCATATGCATACAAAGAGATTCAAAGACCAGATTTAACTTGTATATCATGTAATCCTCAATATCCCTTGAAGAGCCTGCTTTTCTTGCATGCCTGACTCATGCCTACCTCAAGTATAAACTGAAGTGCAGGCTTTGCGCAAGACCTATCCTCAGATGGGCACCTTGTTCTCAAAGAGGGATGCAGTGGTCCATCGGCAGCCTTGGAGCTCTTAAAAGAGAAAAAAGAGAAGCCTTTCATGATGTAACTACAAGTGAAAGGATAGCCAAATAAGAGACAACCATTTCAATGTGCACATTAGAAGAATTCACTCTGACAAAAGCTGTTGTTTCGAAATCTCTGTGGCAGAGAGGAACAAGCTGGTTTTGAGTCTGTGAGCTAGAAGGAGATCAGAAGACCCAGGCCCTCTGTCTCCTTTCCCTTAGAGTGGCTCACTTGGTGTGCAGGACTTATGTTGGCAAAAGTGAAAGAATCAGAGCTTTAGTATCGGTCCTTTCTCCTCTGTGTGAGGACCAAAAGGAGATCCTTGCAAGGGAAAAGGGGTGTAATTTGCCAGCCCTGAAGAGTGTTATTCTCTGCTGTCTTTCAGGTGAGCCCTTTACTCAGGAAGAAATGGAGGACATGCTGTCTGCTGCTCTGGATCCGGAAACAAATACTGTTCGATACAGAGACTACATTTCAAAGATGGTAGTAGATGAAAGTTAAGATCTTCCTTTTTAGTGCTTGAGATGCCTTTCCGTAACAGCTGAGTGTCTTGGCAGTTAGTTGAAATGTGTATTTTAAAGTATAACAAAGTTCAGCTTGTGACCTTGTGCTCATAATTAAAATAAAATCTGTGTAGCAATATTTCCTTGACTTCTGTATACATACTGAAATATAGTCACACCTGGAAAAAGAGCTCTAGACAGAAATACTGTGTAAGGTCTGGAAAAGAAATCATGTAATTTAGTTTGAAAAATAACAGGAAAAATAATGTTAATGGAGTCAAGAAATGACTTTACAATTGCTTCTGAAAAACTAATGGAAAACGAGACCTGTGAAAGCGAGTAAAAGTAGGTAAGTGAGTACCTTAAAATGACTAAAATCATGAAGGCATGCTACTAAGATAAAGCTTCTGTATTTAAGTGTAACCCCTGTTTGTGTTTAACTAATAAGGCATCAGGTAGGTTACTACTTTTGAAATATTATACTAGATCAAATAAACTTTCTATGATTTCTAGGTGTTGTCAAATATTTGTGCTTTGTAGGCACTTAAACTGGACTGGTTAGTTCCATTTTATGTTACTCGTCCATTGGCACATGATATTTTGCTACTGTTTTAAACACACAGGTAACACTGAAACCATTGCCATAGTCAAATGTACAAACAAAGTAATCCTTGAGAACATTTATCTTACTATAGGCAATAAACAGTTCCCCTTTCATAACTAGTTTGAAAGTCTGGAGCTAAAACTGTTCATAAGTTAGACAACTTAGGATCATAGTACTGGAATTTGATTTTCATAAACTGATGAAGCACCACTTTTTGAAAGATGCTCATGTAGAATATGTGTCTCAGCTACCCTTGCTAGAAGACCACCAGAGACCTCACATCTCTTCTCATTTCTAGCTTAATAATTTTGTTGACTATTGCTGTGCTATTGTCCTTTAACTTGAGTTAGAGTTCTGTTCTCTGGAGTTCTTGCCTTGTACATCATCTCCTAACAAGTTGCCCTCAGCTTCTCGTAGGAACCATCTCGCCACCATCTCAGCTATTGTCCTTTAACTTGAGTTAGAGTTCTGTTCTCTGGAGTTCTTGCCTTGTACATCATCTCCTAACAAGTTGCCCTCAGCTTCTCGTAGGAGAAGATTCTGTGATCTGGTCCCCAAGGCCACCATCTCGCACTTTGTGCTCCACACCTTTGATCCCATTTCTGTTTTTCTACTCTCTATCAAGTTTGGTTTCCTCCTGTACAGTGTCCTACCACTCCTCTGTCTTAACTGCATATCCCAGCTCTGTGTCATCAACAGACTTCATCGGCTGGTGAGATCTGGGGCAGACTGACACACAGAGGCATCGAATGCCTTACCCTCTGTCATGCCGTTCTAGTGACAGAGCTGAAAATGGAGCACAGGGCTTCTCATGTCAGGTCTTTTGCTCTACCCGTTTGTTTCACTTGAGCTGGAAGCTCAGAGGAGCCATTCTCATATGTAGCTGCAAGGGAGCTGCTGTGCATCACAAAGAAGAGATTAGCATGATCTAAATGTGGTGATGCAAGCGATTGGAAAGAGACTATTTTTTAATTCTCTTTTTACTTCTCTAACACAAGTTGCCTTTTACTAGTATTTTCGTAAACAGTAAGGCAAAAAAGAATTAATGCAGGTAAACATTTGCCTAGGTCTAAGCTGGGTTTCTATCTGGAAACCACTGTTGCACTGGTCTTAAGACTGCAATTCACTCTTGTTAACACATTTACTGTGTATTTCATTGTCAGTAAGAATGAAAAACACTGTTCATTAGTGTTATAATGTGTGAAGATACAGGTTTCTGAAGATTAAAGCAGGAGCAACAAAGGCACATTAACAAATGTACTTTTTTTATTAGTCTTCTTAGTCTCTCTTTGAAAGCTGAAATTATTTTCCCTAGATGAATCCTTCTTCCATTTGATATACAGTGTGTTGTACCGGATCTCTAACACGGCTGGCATGAATACAGGTTTCATTCATATTCTGCAGTCTGGGAGCCACTGTCAGCCTCATCTTGGATGTCAGCAGGAAGATGCCTATTTCAGGAAATCATTTCATAGCTCGCAGTGCTCCAGAGAGAGCACAATTTGTTTCTCGTGGTGCTACCCCAGAGGCTGCCTAAGCCACTGCTGTATCAAATCAGGATGCCTGCGTACAACACAGTTACAATTCATAGTGCAGATAGCATCTTAGCATATATCCTTCGATGATATATATAATTTTTTTTCTCCTACAGTCCTCAGATGCAAGGAAAGAGGGTATTCTGGCAACTTAAAAGTGGGATTATGTCTGAATTTATTACACAGCAGCTCTTCCAGCAGCTCTTCCAGCCCCATCTTCTTACACCTGTCCCCAAGAAAGATACGTGAAAATAGGACAGATAGAAGCAAGTTTCAGTCTTCACTTTGTGCATAAGCAACGAAATTCCATTGTCTAGAGAGTTTCCAAATTGAGGGTGAAGGAAGTGTCCAGAACCAATCTCAGACTCTGTATGATCCTCCTCACCAGCTAGGATTATCTAGCAGTGATCTGACCAGCTTGTGCAAGAGCTGCCCTGTGGGTCCTCCAGGAAGCAGCCAAGAAGTGCTGCACACAACTTTTCCATTGCCCTTGTCTTTCATGACTTACCAGCCGATGCCATGCCCACCCAGCTCCCTGTGATGGTGGTGGGCTGCAAAGCCCTCTTCAAAGCTCCCCAGGATGGGCCTTGCGTATCTGTGCTCCCTGGGGAGCTATGTGCCTCTCCTTGCTGGCTGTTTTGCCTCTTCCCTCAAGATCAGGAACCAAGATAAGGGAACAGATCACACTGGGAAGCCTCTAGGGAGGAACCAGCCTAGCACCTGGACTAAATCCGCACAGTGAAGCAGAGCCAAGGCTTTGAAGAAGTCAGAGGGTTTTTGACCTAGTTGAAGGAGGGAGAGGGAAGGGAACTCATTACCCAGGCATAGAAAAGAAAACAAAAGAAAAGAAAAAGAAGAAATCAAAGAAGCAAATCCTGGAAACCATCTACAAATACAACTGAATCAGCAGGCTGTTTACATCACTGCTGCAAGTTGTAGGCTGGACAAGACTTTACTTGTTCAAAACTTTAAGTAGGTTCAGCTGTGTCAGGGCATATCTGGTATATAGTGGAGACCTTCTCAGTCTTGCTGATACTGCAGAGAAATTCTTCCAGTTGCTGAACTTGTGTTTGGGGGTCCTGTTGTTTGTATTCTAGGTGGTACATTGCTTTTTATGTTTCCCTCATCACCTTTGGAGCTGCTTCTTGAAAACAGTTTTCTGTCTGCTAGTGACAGCCCCATATATATTCACACCTGAAGGCTTGAACGTTTTCCCATTGGAATGCATATCAACCTGGTATTTGCAGTTCTTTCAGACTCGCCACTTACTGTGGGCAGAAGCAGAAGTTGCAGGACTTCTTCTGTCAAAACACTACAGAGCCAGCATCAGATCTGGGACTTGAGGAAAGGAATGGGGCACCTGTGCACCTCCATTTACATTCATACAGAGGTAAGGGCCTGTAAAATGTTCCCCAAGTTACTACTGTGTTAAGAAACTTGAACTTAAGTAGGTCTTCTTGTGGTCACAGGTCTTCTTGTAGCCTTGCAGTTCCCCATAAATTTTAGCTCAAGATCGGCATGCTCAATATAATTGTGCCTTTTCAATGTAATTGTGCCCAAGTGCCTTTGGTGCTGTGGAGGAAAGGCAAGGATTGTCAGTGGCAGCCACGTCTGCAGGTACCACATTAAATAAAGGCTGGAGGTCCCTGTACTATCCAGGCAAGACAGGACCATTTAGGGGCCAGGAGGCACAGCAGGTAGCTTTCATGGAAGGTGAGGCATGTCTCCTGCCATTCTGGCTCCAGTGTGGGGGAGGAAATGAGATTAAGGATGTTTCTGCAGAGGAACAGAAGGAGGCATCTCAGGAGACAAAGATGATAATTATTTCTTGTTAAATTAGAGGAGACTGTAGAAAAGACAATGTATAACAGCAGTTATTTTGGAGACCTCCACTGACTCTTGGGTGAAAAGCTCTGCTAGCCTGCACAGTCAGCTCCCAGTGCCAGTGGTCCTGCCTCCTGTCCAAAACTTGTCACAAACTCTTCACAAAACATCTTTTTTCTCTACTGCCGGAGAGGCTGATGTTACCCGTCATCCCAGTGTAGAGCATTGTGTTCCTGCTTTCTCCCTCAGCCTGATCGTTGTGATGGCTGCCTCTGAAAGGGAGAAAGCCTGGCAAAGGTTGGCATTATAAACGTGGACAACTTAAGGAGAAGTCCTATTTCCCAGCAGTTTCAGTGATTCACTCAAGGGCAGGACTGCCAGCCAGAGAGACCTACACAGGCTGGAGGAACAGCCCACAGAAGAGGGCCTTGGGTCCTGCTGGGCAGCGAGCGGGCACAGCTCGCGGTGCTGCCCTGGCACCGGCATCCTGGGCTGTACTGAGAGGAACTGATTATCCCTCCTGGCTTAGCACTTGTTATACCGTGTCTGGGCACTGCCTCCAGCCTGGGGCCTCCCAGTGCAAGAGACCTGGACAGGCTGGAGGGAGCTCAGTGGGGACCACCAGGATAGTCAGGGCTGAAGCACTCACCCTGCAAGGAGTGGCTGGGGGAGCTGGGCTTAACCAGTCTGGAGAAGTGGAGGCTTTGGGGTGCCTAATAGGTGCCCCTGCTCACTATGAGGAGGGTACAGTCAGTACAGTTGAGTGAATAGACAACGCGTTTTGAAGAACTCCATTTATTCTGGTTTTACTTTTCTTTTCCAGCCCATTGGTAAGGAAAAATCACTTTTCCCTGACAGAATGATTACTATAACTTTTCCCTCACAAAAATGCCTAACTAACACCTCCTATAATTTTTGTTCCTATACCATGAAATATTGATGCCACCACCAGGACAATTTCCATTAGTCGCTGGACTCCAGGACCAGAGATCCTCCTCATCTGTTCCCCATTTCCCATCCTATGAATGGGGAGTTTATTCTGCCTGCATGGCTGGACTGAAACCCCACTACTGGCTCATTCAACCCACCTGTATCACACAGGAGAGCGCAGGAGCCTAACACCCATCAGGACCACTCTTAGGCAACAAGAAACATTTTTACTTCTTTCTCTTGGTGCGGTCTATCTTTTCTCTTGGTTCTCTTATACCTTGTTTCATTAATCCAGTTGCACAATAACCTGCGAGAGCTGAAGACACCGGACAGTTTTGCTCTGCCCCACGCTCCTGGTGCCCTGCTGCTTTCTCCACCAGCAATTACTAGGACAGTATCAGCTGGTCATATCAGGGTGTCATTTATCACGGGATCTAGACTTGCTGCCACTGAAATCAGCACTAAGAAAACTCTCGTCACAGGTAACGGGAAGGACTGAGGCCTTCGCTTTCAGGGGTGAGGGTGGCTGGGGATGCTGGAATCCAGCCAAGGCTGCGACTG